CCAATGTTCAACCCCAACCTCCCCCCCCCCCCCCCCCCCCCCCTCCCCCCCCCCCCCATCTGTATTCTGTGCTGCAGAGGAGCTACTCAGACCGCTCTGAATGTGCGTCCCAAATGCCACCCTTTTTTCTTCCCCCTATAAAAAGCACTACTTTTGACCAGAGGCCTGTGGTAATAGTGATAGTAGTAGTAAGATGCCATTTGACACTGTTCAGCCTGAACAACAGGGCAATGCTTGTTGCTTTGGGTTAAAACTGACATCACGATACATTACAACAGTGGATTAAAGATAGAGAACTACACCATATGAGGATGTACACATTTAGCCTGGTCCCAGATATACACTACATATACAAAAGTATGTGGACACCCCTTCAAATGAGTGGATTCGGCTATTTCAGCCACACCCGTTGCTGACAGGTGTATCAAATCGAGCACGCAGCCATTCGATCTCCATAGATAAAACATTGGCAGTAGAATGGCCCTTGCTGAAGAGCTCAGTGACTTTCAACGTGAGACCGTCATAGGATGCCACCTTTTCCAACAAGTCAGATCGTCAAATTTCTGCCCTGCTAGAGCTGCCCAGGTCAACTGTAAGTGCTGTTATTGTGAAGTGGAAACGTCTAGGAGCAACAACGGCTCAGCCGCGAAGTTGTAGGCCACACAAGCTCGCAGAATGGGACCGCCGAGTGCTGAAGCGTGTAGCATGTCAAAATTGTCTGTCCTCGGTAGCAACGCTCACTACCGAGTTCCAAGCTGCCTCTGGAAGCAACGTCAGCACAAGAACTGTTCATCTGGAGTTTCATGAAATGGGTTTCCATGGCCGAGCAGCCGCACACAAGCCTAAGATCACCATGCGCAATGCCAAGCGTCGGCTGGAGTGGTGTAAAGCTCACCGCCATTGGAATCTGGAGCAGTGGAAACGCCTTCTCTGAATCACGCTTCACCATCTGGCAGTCCGACGGACGAATCTGGGTTTGGCGGATGCCAGGAGAACGCTACCTGCCCCAATGCATAGTGCCAACTGTAAAGTTTGGTGGAGGAGGAATAATTGTCTGGGGCTGTTTTTCATGGTTTGGGCTAGGCCCCTTAGTTCCAGTGAAGGGAAATCTTAATGCTACAGCATACAATTACATTCTAGACGATTCTGTGCTTCCAACTTTGTGGCAACAGTTTACGGAAGGCCCGTTGTTGTTTCAGCATGACAATGCCCCCGTGCATAAAGCGAGGTCCATACAGAAATGGTTTGTTGAGATCAGTGTGGAAGAACTTGACTGGCCTGCACAGAGCCCTGACCTCAACCCCTTTTAAACACCTTTGGGATGAATTGGAACGCCGACTGCGAGCCAGGCCTAATCGCCCAACATCAGTGCCCGACCTCCCTAATGCTCTTGTGGCTGAATGAAAGAAGTCTCCGCAGCAATGTTCCAACATCTAGTGGAAAGCCTTCCCAGAAGAGTGGAGGCTGTTATAGCAGCAAAAGGGGGGAACCAACTCCATATTAATGCCCATGATTTTGGAATGAGATGTTGGACGAGCAGGTGTCCACATACTGCTGGTCATGTAGTGTATTTGTGCAGTATACTGTATAGCAAATTCACAGGAGTTGCCACAGATCTGGGATCAGGAGTTGCCACAGATCTGGGATCAGGAGTTGCCACAGATCTGGGATCAGGCTGCAATAAATCCACTGTTCTGTGAGACACATACCACACATGTTATCCTGCCTTCTGGTAGCATAAGGAAATGACTGTTCCTTTTCAAGTAATTACCCTAGAAGACAATCAGGACGAAGTGCCTGCAGACATACAAAGTCATGTGAAGTGAAATAGTGGCATCAGCATCCGACTGTGTGTTGTGTTTGTGTCCCGCCTGAGTCCCTAAGAAGATATGCATCTAGACAAAGAAGATAACCACAGGAGGAATCCTTCAGCACGAGGACATCACAAAGAAGATAACAACAGGAGGAATCCTACAGCACGAGGACATCACAAAGAAGATAACCACAGGAGGAATCCTTCAGCACGAGGACATCACAAAGTTATCCCTCCTTACGGTCAATACATTCCCGACCAGGGGACACTGATCTAAGGCTGCGTCCCAAACGCCTCCCTTTTCAACTATGGGCCCTGGTCAAAAGAAGAAGTGCACATAGAAAAGGAAAAAAAAGGTGCATTTAGGGACTCACCCTAACATTACAATAGTGCAGGTGGCAGTATTCAGTGTTCCCTTGGCAGAGATGGCCGTCACTCCCTCTCTCTACTGGTTATGCTGCAGAGACAGAGGCCAGTGCCATATGCCAGGGCCTATAGGGCTGGTCATAGCTACTGTAAGAAGGGCCTATAGGGCTGGTCATAGCTACTGTAAGAAGGGCCCATAGGGCTGGTCATAGTTACTGTAAGAAGGGCCTATAGGGCTGGTCATAGCTACTGTAAGAAGGGCCTATAGGGCTGGTCATAGCTACTGTAAGAATGGCCTATAGGGCTGGTCATAGCTACTGTAAGAAGGGCCCTTAAGGCTGGTCTTAGCTACTGTAAGAAGGGCCTATAGGGCTGGTCATAGCTACTGTAAGAAGGGCCTATAGGGCTGGTCATAGCTACTGTAAGAAGGGCCTATAGGGCTGGTCATAGCTACTGTAAGAAGGGCCTAGAGGGCTGGTCATAACTACTGTAAGAAGGGCCTATAGGGCTGGTCATAGATACTGTAAGAAGGGCCTATAGGGCTGGTCATAGATACTGTAAGAAGGGCCTATAGGGCTGGTCATAGATACTGTAAGAAGGGCCTATAGGGCTGGTCATAGCTATTGTAAGAAGGGCCTATAGGGCTGGTCATAGCTACTGTAAGAAGGGCCTATAGGGCTGGTCATAGCTACTGTAAGAAGGGCCTATAGGCTGGTCATAACTACTGTAGAAGGGCCTATAGGGCTGGTCATAATACTGTAAGAAGGGCCTATAGGGCTGGTCATAGATACTGTAAGAAGGGCCTATAGGGCTGGTCATAGATACTGTAAGAAGGCTTAGGGCTGTCAAGTAAGAGGCCTAGGCTGGTCATAGCTATTGTAAGAAGGGCCTATAGGGCTGGTCATAGCTACTGTAAGAAGGGCCTATAGGGCTGGTCATAGCTACTGTAAGAAGGGCCCATAGGGCTGGTCATAGCTACTGTAAGAAGGGCCTATAGGGCTGGTCATAGCTACTGTATGAAGGGCCTATAGGGCTGGTCATAGCTACTGTAAGAAGGGCCTATAGGGCTGGTCATAGCTACTGTAAGAAGGGCCTATAGGGCTGGTCATAGCTACTGTAAGAAGGGCCTATAGGGCTGGTCATAGCTACTGTAAGTTGGGCCGATAGGGCTGGTCATAGCTACTGTAAGAAGGGCCCTTAAGGCTGGTCTTAGCTACTGTAAGAAGGGCCTATAGGGCTGGTCATAGCTATTGTAAGAAGGGCCTATAGGGCTGGTCATAGCTACTGTAAGAAGGGCCTATAGGGCTGGTCATAGCTACTGTAAGAAGGGCCCATAGGGCTGGTCATAGCTACTGTAAGAAGGGCCTATAGGGCTGGTCATAGCTACTGTAAGAAGGGCCTATAGGGCTGGTCATAGCTATTGTAAGAAGGGCCTATAGGGCTGGTCATAGCTACTGTAAGAAGGGCCTATAGGTCTTGTCATAGCTACTGTAAGAAGGGCCTATAGGGCTGGTCATAGCTAATTTAAGAAGGGCCTATAGAGCTGGTCATAGCTACTGTAAGAAGGGC